GGATCAAACTCAGTACAAAGTAAGACATTTCACTCGTGGGTTAAAACCAAACACTTTTCCAGTGACCTGATTTTTGTAGTTCAGTGTGTGATTCGTCTGTTTGGTGCAGGTGAAACAGATCAGAGCTACTTTGACTCAGATGCACAGAGACAGTCCTCGTCCTTTTGGTCTGAATATCAGTCCCCCAACTTCGCTGCCCCTCCATCACACCCATCTATGGCCTCATGTCCCTCAAACCCCGGCCTCCAATCCTCAGAGCAGTACTGCCCCCGTGTGGTGAAACGAAAAAACACCCCTCCACAGAGGCTGGACAGGGAGGGGCAGATGACAGGAATGTCGGCTTATCCAGGTTAGACTTTGCTTCTTTTCCTCTTTGTCTAATGTGACACATAGATTACACATTACAGCGCCAGCTACTTACTTTGACCTCATTAATTTATCTACAAACTCTTCATTCAGGTTCCGGTCCAATCCAGCTGTGGCAATTTTTACTGGAGCTTCTGCTGGACTCTGCCTGCCGCACTTTCATCTCCTGGACTGGAGACGGGTGGGAGTTCAAGATGTCTGACCCCACAGAGGTAAGAATCCTGTTTTAGACAAAGCCACTGTTGAGCACTACATGGAACCGATAAAAGGTTATTTCTTAACTACTTCACAAAACTTTCCATTTGAGTGTGTCTTTGTAGTTTGGGGAGAAACGTTGATCACATTTAAGAAAGTCAGGCTGGGAATCACTTGTTTTCCTAAAAATGGAACCGCTGGTGTTGAAACTTTGTACCATTTAACAGAACAATGACTGGATGGGGCCCCTGTTCATATTACCTGCAGTGCTGATGCTGCTCATCCTGGTTCTTATAGAGCCAGATTGACAGGGGGCAGAAACGAGCATTGCACAGCTTTACTGAAAGATGTGAGGATTCATTTATGTGGGAATAAAATGATAGACGACAGAATCTGCTTATATTACTGCTTTACACAAACATTTAATGCATTTGAATAAACACTTGGATTCTTCTGCTTTTAGAAGCACTTAAATAAATCATCTTACTTATTATAAACTTTAACAGATGTTTTTATTAGTACATTTACTTCATGACATTATTCATTTCTATTGTATTTTCTAAGCATGTGTCTGCTGGTGATCCCACAGGTGGCGAAGCGCTGGGGTCAGTGCAAGAACAAACCAAAGATGAACTACGAGAAGCTGAGCCGTGGCCTGCGTTACTACTACCACAAAAACATCATCCATAAGACGGCGGGCAAGCGCTACGTCTACCGCTTCGTCTGTGACATGCAGGGCATGCTGGGAAAGTCGGCACAGGAGGTCCTGAGCAGTATGAACGTTTTACCCACAAACACAGAGTCCTGGCAGGGCTCTGGGGTATCGACAGCCTCTGATCACAGCAGTGAAACGTGGGTTTCACAGTAGGGGCCGGCCCCTGGAGCCTCAGTGCTGCTGGCTCACAGACCTGAACGTTTTGAGTACTTCAGCCTTCAAAGTGAACTCTGCTTCCTCAAGCCTCGCGGAAGAGGACGAACTTGTTGTAGGCAGTTTACAGATGCTGCATTTCAGGGAATAATAATTAAAAGTATATAGAGCCATAGTGCAGCCAATATTTAATGACATCATATCATTTTTTCTTAAATGTTTCTATAAAAAGAGCTACTTGACCTCAGGTTGTTTTAAGTGCAGCACAGACATAAGCCAGGGGTATTTTAAGCACTCGGGTTACTTGTACTTTGTTCCTCTGGGGTTGTTATGTTTGATAGTTTGTTTGTTTGTTTTCTAAAGAAAGAATGGATTTGTAAATAGTGTTTATATGAACCCTGT